AATTGAAGAATAATCGATTGTGATTGGTCAATTTTCTTACTGCTTAAGTCTTAGTTTGTCTTTTTCTGTGCGTCTGGGCTCTTAAGATATTGTCCGCCATTTATAGGGAGGAAGTGAGTGAGTAAAAGAGAAACTGCGGTGTGCTTTGTCACTTTAATTTTGGAGTGAATGCGTATTTTGGCAGAAAAACTAAAAACAAGAAAACAAAAATCAATCAGAACTCGCGCTGATAGAAAAATAGAAATTGTCAGTTATTACTTGACCATCAGCGCGAGTTCTGATTGACTTCTACCTTTATGTTTCTGTCTTTCTTCTCTCTGCAAAAGTTTGTATTCTTAGAGTATGTACTCTTAGAGTTTCTCTCTCATTTCCACTCACGTCATCCCTAAAAATGACGGACAAAAGGCGGCCAATCAGGAGTCATCATGCTTCGTCTTAACTCTGGCTAGCGGAGATCTACACTGACCTATTCTCTATCCTGGCGCTGAATGACTCAAAATTACGTCATTCATATTATCGCGCAGAGTCACGTAGGCTATACCGTTTTGGCAGGGGCTTTCAGTGGCAGCGAATAATTTGCGTGTCAATATAATTCAATGTATCTTCTGACGCTGAATGATTCGAAACAACGTCATTCATATTAACGTGCGAAGTCACGGAGGATGTTCTGTTTTGGCAGGATACTTTCAGCGGACAATGTATAATTCGCATGTTAATGTAACTGTAGTGTCGTGTTATGACTGACGACACGCCGTCTTGTTACACTCTGTTTTCACTTGAATTTAGGCAACAAAAACCTCCGCGGTTGTAGCTGTGAATTTATTCGAGACGCGATTCAGAGGTGTCCCGTGACTGTCGTTATTATTATCGAGTTGCCCATCGAAGTAGACACGTCTACACTCAGTCTCCGTCGATCTTTTCCTCGGCCGCCTTCGACGTGCAACGTCCGAAGTGTAACGCGAAATTTTTGCGGAACGATTTAAATTATTTCACAGTTCGCGAATAATAATAAGCGCCAGTTTCGGCGTCTTCCTAACATGCGAGTTACCCGTCGTTATGGCATGTTCGGGTGACAATAATTTCGCGAACCATTCCGCATGCATGCCGCTAAATTCAGCGAAATCTACTCACACGTTGGCACGAAATTTATCGCGGGTGTCGCCGACGCGCTGATCGTTGGTCAATTCGCGCGAGAATTCCTCTACATGAAACCACGATCTATGTTCGGATGGATTGATTAATACGTCTAATTTTTTGTTCCTTCACCGGCGTTATATATTTCAACGCGAAATACGTCCGATTCGCGAGTAGCACCTGCGATTTCGCCCGCGACAATCGCGATTCTTGTTCTCTCGCGCGCTCTTCGCTCTCGACCTCGTGCCAAATTTCCCTCCAAAAAACCCCGAATGAGTTCCCCGTTCGCACACGTATCACAGGCGCACGTCATTCATTTGAGATTCTTGAACGCGACGATTTACGAGCGGAATCATTGCACGAGATACAGGGTCGTCGCTGCTGGCTCGCGTGCGATTTTCGCGCGTTCGAATTTCAGAATTCGTCGCGTACTCCGTTGAATCTTCGTTGACAGGTCGACAATGTTGGGAACATTCCGACGTTCGAATTCTTCTCCGACTTCTCCTCGGCATGATGGATGTATTCTACACGGAAAACAATCTCGGTGCGACTGAATAGAAAGGTGAAAATTCGGTGACGTGAAATGACATCTCTTTTATCGCGATTGAAGGCATTTTTCTGAAAATTAAACTGTGTCAACGGGATACTGGAGATGAAATCTTTATCAGTAGAATAATGACTTTTTCTGCAGAATTTACGTTTTATTGAATGTACAAAATTACAAATGCTCTTATACAATTAATATATGCGCAAAAATAAATTGGAGCATTGTTCAATGTATGATAGGAACAATAAAAAATTTTAAAGTTAGTACTTCGAATGTAAATTAGCCTGTCAGACGCTGTCGATTAAAGTAATATAAGTAAATATTCGCAAATATTAAGCAAATATTCCTGATACAAAAAATTTGTAATTCATGAACGTGAATTTGGGATTGTAAGAGTGAATGTTTCATTTTTTCATTCTTACAATTTTTCTGCACTTTTGGAGTTAATGCAGACTCCGTGGAGGTGAATGTTTCAATCGATTGGAGTGAGTCTTGTAACAATAGAATATCTTTCTCTAAGTTTCTTTGAGTGAAATTTTTTTCAAGAAACAGAGTGACCACCGAGTCATTCAAATTTGTGTGATTTTTTACTTATATGGAGTAAATTCTTCATTCTGAATTGTTGAATGAACATTTTCACTCGAAATTGAAAAGTGAATCTAGTGTGCTGCACATTTACAAGAATATATTTACTTTAATCGATTGAAATATTCGTTCAGAATAGAAGAAATATAGAATCAGATACATCCTAAGATCGAGTGAAACATTCGCTATCGCTAACGAAAATACTTCCATTTTTTCCTCGTTCAGATTAATATCCCACTCCAAGAAATTTGGAGAGATCAGATACACTCTTCAATCTCAAATGAAAATATTCATTCAATGATTTAGAGTGAAAAATTCTTCACTGTGCATACTAAGAATAAAATATCTGAGAAATAAGAAATATTTATTGGGCAGGTACTAATAACATATTTACTTTTACATTAATGTAAAGTATTTTTAAAATGATAAAATACATATTTTTCTAAAACCTTAGCTCGTCATGAAAGCAATTATTTATTTTACTTAAAAGAATTTTGGTTTAAATAAATATGTTATTAGTACCGACAGAATAAATATGTTTTATTTTTAGATGTTTTTCCTCTCAGAGTGTAGGAGTTAAAAATCACTTTAATTCAGGTGACTCGGCTGTCACTGTACTTTTCCTACTGTTCCAAGAAACTAGAAGGTAAATTAAGCTCGAGACTTACTTCCTCCAACCCAACTTTTGAGACTTGTCATTTCTTTTCCATTTTATTCCACGCTTTACACCGCGAATCAATTCGAATTTGTGCATTTTTTTTATTCACGAACTCTTAATCTTCTTTTCATCGTGCAATTTACTCGTATCTTATCGCAGGCTCGAGCACGCTCGTATGTTGCGACTACGTGAGCGAACAAGGCAACGATTGTTACCTCTTCGTTCGTTAATTTTGCCCCTAATTACGGATTCCACGAGTGGCGCTGCTGCAACGTAGAGTTGCCCGCCACAATAATTTCACTACGCGAATCAAAACAATGCCGTCGTCGCCGCATTGTTGTTCCCTGCCGGCTTCCGCGTGGTGCACCGGCTTCGTGCAACACCAGCATCAGCCGGCTATTTTCGGCCACTGTGGTGGTGGTTGCGCCAACCGAATGGTTAACGCGGAGGCTTGAGTGCGACACTGATTAATGCGTCTCCATTCTGGGCACTAGAGATGTCCTCCTCCTGTGTCGTGCCAAATAATATCTCGTTATCATCATCTCAAATGGCGTTGGATGCACGACGGTGGTTGGATCTTTCGATCAAAATAGGCCACGGTCGCGCGTCGACGCAGGATATCCGGTAGCGGTTGCATGAATGATCTAATTAAAACCATTCCTCGGACTAATGGACATATCGTGTCACTCGCGTCATGATGTTTCTCTCAATACATTAAGAGAAAGAATATCTGAGAAATAATTAATACTTATTCAGTGGGTACAATGACGTATTTACTTGCAGTAATGTAGAATATTTTTTAAACAAGGAAATACTCAGAGAAATATACTTGAAAATTTATTTGTGGGATGTCTATTTCTACGAAAATAAATTTTATTTTGCAGAAATAAACTTTATATTCCAGGTGGAAAAACGTTTAATTTGGTGACTAACCAATTTTCTGGTGAAATATAAACGCCAGGAAATTCCAGTTGAAATTGCCAGGATTTTGTTCAAATTAATCAGAAATCTTGTTGACTTGAACAGAATAGTAACTCCATCAGAATATTCCATATTCCACCAGAAATTTGGTTAATCCAACCATATTTTTTCTTGTGTATAAATAAATTTCCAAATATTTTTTCTTAGTGTACATTTTTTTAAAACTTTAGGAAAATCTTAGCTTCTTGTGAAAGTAACTGTTTTATCTTAATGAAAATATTTAGTTTTAAGTTAATCTAAAGAAACATAAATTAAGTAAATCTAAAGAGAGAGTAAAGAAAATGAAAGTAAATAGTCGAAATTTATCTAAAAGTAAATGTGTCATTAGTACACGCAAAAAAATCTCAGTTGATGCAACCAAATAGGAACCAACCGAAAATTAGGTGATCAGAAGCGATATCTCTGTTATGAAAACTAATATTTCTGTTGTCGCAATCGAAAATATTCGTTTGAACATTCAACGATATTAGAACTCGGTTGAAGCAACTGAGAACAATTGACTATACAGAAGTTTCATAAAGGAATTTTTCTGTTCCTACAGCTGAGTTTTCGTCTGATCCCTGAGTAACCGAAAATTCGGTTGCACCAACAGAATTGTTTTTTCTGTGTACCTATCAAATATGTACTATTTGTTAGATTTTTTTTTCAATGTAAGAGATTGTACGTCGGTTACCGCGCAGCCCAAATCGAAACCGCGAAATTTCAATCGATGGCGCTATAAATCACGACGAGTCGCTCGAGAACCGGTGGTATCTTTGGCCGATGTTAATCTGCATTGGTTAGGATGAAGGAGAGGTAGTTGCGAGCTCGTCTTCGCTTTGTCATATTGGACAGATCGATTTATCGTGAATACAAGGTGTTATCGTCAACAATGCTCAAGAAAACTTGTTCCAAATGGAGATCGGAGAGGGTTGTAACATTTTACTTGGAATTTCTTACGAGCAACATTTTGCTGTTACTTCATTGCGCCTCTTTTCACTCTGTGTCTCTTTACACCGAGGGAAAAAATATCTAAGAGATAAAGAATATTTACGGTGGGTACTAATAACATATTCGCTTATACACTAATATAAAGCATTTTTCAAATAAAAAATATACATTTTTTTTAATTTTATTTAAATAAAAGAGTTTGGATTAATACTTATCGAATAAATATTCTTTACTTCTTAGATACTTTCCTTTTCAATGTGCTTTATTTTTTGTTGATATCAATCTTGACAATTTCAGATAAGGTAAAAGCATCAATACCCAAACACGTACCTTTAACTCTGGACATTCTTATTATTTTAGTCTTTAAATACGAATATTCAAACTTTTAACATAGAATGTATATATATATATTCAATATTTGTATATATATTTCATATCGAAAATTTAAAAATATATATATATTTTTTTTTAAGACCAGAACAATAAGAATGTTCAGGATTAGGTACATGTCCGGGCATTGGTACTATTATCTTACATGAATGTCTGTTTTCTTCTCCGATTTTCTTCTCCGTCGAAGATAGAATGGAGACTCTGCAGAACCGTCGATATCGGATTGTGTTTTTCGCACTTTAGCCTGAAGGTAGCCCTCTGGGCGTTTTCTTCTGGGTTTACATCTCGCTCCTTATCTCGAGATAGGATATCTCACTCCCGCGCTCGTTCCTTGCGCGTCTTATCAATCGCAGCGACCGCGCAAGGCATTGATAATCGGCCGCATACGTCTTGAATCGTCCTTCTTGTCCCTCCTCTCCGACAGTGGTTTATCGTCCGCGGAATATCGCCCCCCAGTTTCGAACTGACGTAGCTTCGGCCGAGAGTTCGCGTAGAAGTTTACCCGGCTCTCGGATTCGCGATTGACGTCAAATTCATCGGTCGAATCTTTCGCCGAGCGTATCGTCACGCGAGTGAATCGCGGCTACGCGCTCGCTAATCAGTGAGTCAGACGTCGCGGACGATGATCTGCTGTATCGTCCGTCACCGTCCGCCGTGATTTTCCGTCGTCGTCGTCGTCGATGGTGTATCAGCTTGCGACGAGCTTCACTCGACCCTCACGAGCTTTCTCAGCAGTGAGACCGACGTAATCGTCGAGAACCAGATGAGTCCTTCTCCTCGTCGCTTCGTGGAGACACCCCGGAGGCTTTCGCGGATTCCTTGCCCGACCCGTTCCGCGGTCAAACTCACCCATTTAAACGCCCGCGCAGGACAGGGTGCACAAGTGCGTTGTTGTGAGATCTCGTGAGAGTGTGACACGTTTGGCAAGGATTCTTTGCCTACTGAACATCGCGGTTTCCTGTCTGTAGTCTCGCCTGCGAGAGGAGAGACCTTTTCTCCGGCAGGATCATACGGAGAACGGCAATTCTCGAAAAAGCGAATAAGTGCTCGTTTCGTTTCATTGCGACGAGCAATGAATGCGACGGGCAATATATCCTGGAAATTGACCGAGACGATCGCGACTGATCGCGGACAGCACGCCCGACCGCAGTCTTGGACGTCAGCCGCATACCTGATTCGAATTGCCTCGACTCGCTGGCGAAAAACGAAGTCAAGGTGAAGATCGAGCAGACTTATGCTCGTGGCGAGTCGCTCTTACGTTATTACAATAGTAAGAGATGATCGTTTCGCGCGCGATCGTTCGTGCGTCGAGTCGGATTCGCACGAGAAGCGTTCGCGCCTCCTGCGTATTCGCGATCGAGGATGATGTGTACTCGGGCCCGCTTCGCCGTGCTCCGCCGCATCGTGCTTCCCCGTGCTCGAGATGACACAGACAGGTGCCCTGTGAGGAGAGGAGCTGTACAGGATAAGGGAAAGCGCGAGAAGTGCAGGCGCAGGATACGTGCTGGTCGCGGAATGTCGGTCATGATAATTTTTCATAATTTTTCATAATTTTTGCAAAGCAAGCGGATTAAACGCACAGCTCGCGTATTTCGCGATTGATGCTTCTCATCGCGGGACGGAAGGATCAAACGAATGAACGCTCCACGTGCTCTCTTCGGCTAATCATCCGAGCAATTAACGCTTGCGGCAGATTGAAGCGTGCAGTCGAACATCGATTAAGTTCCATGGAATATATAAACGAAAGATCGAATCTGTTAAATACCAACGGGCAAAATGCATCCGTCTCGTCCTTGCAGTCGCAAGGATCTAACAAGACCTACGGATCCTTCTCCACCTGCCAATTAGCGATTCAGTCATTCTGGAACAGGAGCAAACAGGTAGACGATATATGTATGATGATTTCTGGCTCCTTTAGAATGTACCCGCAGTTTGCTTGTCGCCGTGTGTACTCTTGACTGCGAACTATAGAACGCGAAATGTTCACGAAAAAGAAAATGTCGGGGATCATAAATTCTCGCGCGACATGCAACGTTTATATTTGTTTGTGCGGAATTTCAGACGTGACTTCCTTAGCAGATTTTAGATCTCTTTGGCGAGTTATCAACGGGACGAAAGGGTAATCGCGTGATTTAGTGTCACTCAATATCGTGAATTGTTTCGGGATTTTAACGAATGATGCGTATGTGCCGAGACAAACAGGTGTATGTTTTGGCAGCAACTTTACTAGTAGATTTGTAAAAGCTGTATACCGTATGATTGCTTCACGTAATGCTCATATTTATCACATAGATTGATGAAGTAAAAATATGAGAAAGAAATATAAAAATGTTACCATAATTTGTTTCAAATAATATATCATTCAAAATATAATACAAAGACTTGAGTGTAAAACCTTTAGTAAATTTATATAGTTGTATCAATATAATAAACAGTTTATTTTATTGTATGATATACAATGTATGTAGGAATTTAATGATTAATTTAGTACACTATATTTTTTTTATAAATGTAATTAAAAAGATTGTAAAGTTTCTATCACACCGATTATCTCACGTCTTCATCATGAAAGTCTATCTGGATAGACTGGAAAGTAGATAAGTGTATGTAAATTTAGCAACTTTATCAATCAATTTGTAAAGACCTATTTGCATACCTTATGAATACTTTATATGACGCTCATATCCTATCAGAAAAAGTGCGTGTTACCGAAAATCTCGAATGTATCGAAACTTGAAGCCTCTTTTCCGCGACGCTGATTGGCCGTCCCGACTGTCTCGATTGGCTCGATCGAGATATGCTAGGTTCAATCTGCTTACAGCTGTCAGATGCATGTGACGGATCAGGTTGTGTTGTTCGCGTTATATGAATTTGATATTTATTGTAATCTCAGCAAACACAATGTTACATGTAACATACATGTTAGTTGTAATTTCTTACTCAACAAACAATATAACTGTTATATAATATACGTGTTGTATAACAGTTACATTGTTGAATAGGAAATTACAACTAACATGTACGTTACATGTAACATTGTGTTTGCTGGGAATATAATTTGTAAAAACGAATATTGTAATATAATTGTAAATAGTAAAGGCTAAATTGTAACGAAAAGGCTAAAGTGGCGCGCGCAAAGCGCGCGTTATGTGGTGTTCTAGTTTATTATATAAATTGATAAAACATAAAAATACGAGAAAAAAATACAAAAAAATTATCAAGATTTGTTCAAATAATATTTTATATAAAATGTAATGTATAAGTCTAAATGTAATTTTTAGTAAATTTTTAGCTATGTCAACATAATGGAAAATTTACTTTATCGTATGATGCTAATTTAATGATTAATTCAGTGTAGTATATTTGCTTCGTAAGTGTCATTGAGAAGATCGTCAAATTTCCATCACCGATCGTCTTACGTCGCAATAATCACGAAAAAGTCTCTTTCTCTCTTTCTCTGACAAGGGAACACTTTGATTTTGATACACTTTTGTGAGTGTGTAGAGTAAATCAATACATGAATAACGGTACATTTTATTTGTACCCTATCGCTATTTTAAAAATATGATTTACACTCTCAAAGTAAAAAGGACAATTCCACTTTTTCGTGTATTACTCTTAAATTAAAGGAGATAGAACAAAATTTTTCGAATAAAAGTTTAATGGTAAGTTAAGTGCTATAAATTGATATAAGCATAAATAAATAAAAAAATATCTAAAAAGATTTTTTTTACAATAAAAAAGATATTTTTTTATTTATGTCAATTTACAGCACTTAACTTACCATTAAACTTTTATTCGACAAATTTTTTTCTATCTCCTTTAATTTAAGAGTAATATACGAAAAAGTGGAATCGTCCTTTTTACTTTAAGAGTGTAAATCATATCTTTAAATAGCGATACAAATGGAATATACCGTTATTCATGTATTGATTTACTTTACATACTCACAAAAGTATATCAAAATCGAAGAGTTCGGGTTCGCGGTGTGAGTAAAGTAGAGTAATACCAGAATCTCTAATTGCCGTGCGGATATACGACGATCAGTCGTTAACATCGGCAGACACTCGGGCGATATCTCATGAATGAAGCTCTCGTCGTTCTCTTTCATCTCGTACTACGTGAAGCGTGCCAAGATTTCGCCGGGATACTTGTCGAGATAAATGACACGAGCGATGGGTTGTCGGCGTGTCGCGGGTAGTTTCTCACTTGCTCGAGTTTCCGTGTATGGTACCCCGATCCTCTCCCGATCCGACGTGGAGCGCTTACTGTCGCGAGTCCACCTATACATCGTTCTATAAAGCGAAACGTCTATTCCGAGCAGAATCTATTTGCTTCCCCTTCTCCTCCTCGTCGTCGTCATTTTGTTTAATCAGATGGCAAAGTTCAAGTTACGTGGAACGTAAACGCGCGTCTTATCGCCGTGCAATTTGGCGCGAGGCGATAGTGTTATTAGCTCGACACATTCCTCCGCGCTCGCGCCCGCAAACGGCTGACGCCGTTTTGCCGCACGACGTCGTTCCGTTTTATGAGGGGCCCAGTAAAGTTCCGCGTACGCAATTGATTAGTTTACCAAGCGCTTTAATTGGCCGGGATTAGCGCGAGAACTAACCATGGCGGAGCGAGCGTCTAAGACCAACGTTCGTATAAAAAGTGTCCTCGAAATTCCGCGTGAAACGCGACTGTCCTGCGCCTTGACGATTCACCGAAAAATTTTGAGATTCGCTGAAAGGGACGAATAAATTTTCTATCACGTAATTCGAGTGCAAATGTTTGCACTCGAGAAACAGAACAGTTGCGACGTTGTATTTCAGGGAATTTTGACTGGCTCGCTGATTTACATCGCGCAAGTGTTCACAAGTCAATCAATGGAAATGTTCCGTACGTTGCACCGAGGAGGAAAATATTTCCTCGATATCTTCTTGTGCGCAATACACAAGTCTCGTTTTCAAGTCGCGTCGTTACGCGTCTCGATTGTTCGAGCTTTGACACTTCCATTAACTCTTTGAGTCATAGTGAGACGCTAATATCCTATCTATCTTTCCTTCATTTTTAGCGATTTTAACTAACTTATCGGTAGAGACATAGTCGATTATATTATTACAATACATTTTCTCTCTCTCCCCCTCCCTCTCTCTCTCTCAACATAATGATGAACCAAAAATAAGTAAAAAATAATTTAAAAGTTTAATTGTTAAATTCTTATAAACAAATAAAAGTAAAAAGGACTCTTTTTCAAACAAAAATCATTTTAGGACTAACATATTAGGAGCCAACACATCGGAATATTAATAGTTTATTTAGAACATCTATTAGTGTATATTCTTTTCAAAATTTTCTGTAAGCCCTATTTTTATAATAAACTGTTGAAATATTGATAACATGTATACTGCAAATCTCCTGTTAAAAACGCAAATTTCTTTCATATCATAGAAATATTATCGTTATTTTTGGATAATGCTGAAAAAGCGAGATTGCTAATTCTGCAAATTTATGGTTGCCATATTGGGTCTATTATTTCGAATTTTACCTTTTAACTTTTTTACTTCAAATTCATAATCAGCGGCCCCGAAATCCCCCCATGCCAAATTTGAAGAAACTTCACCGAGAAATGAAATGTATGGCTCGAAGTATTTATGACTCAATCGTTTGACCCATTTTGCCGGCGAATATTCGACCAACGACGCAGTCTTCGGATATTTGAATCCGAGAGACTCCGGATGCTGCTCTTCGCGCTGAATTACGGCTTGATTAATTCGCGAAGCGAATTTGCACAATGCCGAATCGGACGCACAGTTACATCGCCCTACGATCGATTCGCGCGCACTTTTTTCGACCCAGCTTTCAACTGGGTCATCGGATATACACACCGCGGCGGGCGGGGCGGAAGAAAAAATTGCAATTCGTTTGGCGGCCGCTTATCGCAGTTCGTTAATTGCTTTATCAAATCCGCTCCGGCACCGCCGAATCCACACAATCTGCAGCCGAATGGGATTAATCGCGGAAGATTGCAACGCTTGTAATTATACGCATGCCGCGCCGCAAATTGCGTTATCTCGGATCGATGACGTCGGTAGCTGTCGTATTTCTCCCGGCCGTTATTATCTCGGAAAATATCTCTGTTGCGACCGGAACTGTCGCTTCTGCGGACTATTTCGCATGAATTCCGAGTGATGACGCGCGATATTCATTCCCCTATGTGTGTAACACGAGTGGCGGCGATGAGTGTGCAAAGCAAAACATATTTTCATTCCTCGTCGCGTGATCCCGCGCGACGTACTCGCAGCTAAAAGCGCTCGATGAAATTAACACTCGGCGTCTTTCCAACTCGATTTTGAGAGAAAATCAAATTCATTCCATTTGTCTCTTTACCTGGCGCATTTTTATACCCGCAAGATCTCCTCGACTTTAATGAAAATCTTCGACATTCTTTTTCTACATTTCTTCTACGTAAGATTCTCTTTTCACAGATGCTTCCTTTTCGTTCACTCAAAAATATATAATCTCATTCTCAGCCGAATCCTCTTATGTTTTGATCTTAAAAAGATCCTTCTGAAATCAAAAGGAAAATATTCTAACATCAAAAGAAAAAAAAAAGAAGTATCTATGCACTATTTTCTGTAAACTTTTACTGAAAGAGTATTTCTCTTCCAATGAAGATGAAGAATATTGTGCTTAGAATATTCTCCTTTTCGTCCTCCACCTGGCGAATTTTTCACCCGAAAGATTCCTTTGAAAGATTCCCTTTAATGAGAATCTTGAAATTTTGTTTTTGTATCTATTCCGTGTCTTCTTTTTACAGATTCTTCTCGTTTAACTAAAAATATATAATCTTATCCTTAACCGAATCCTATAGCCTTAAGAGAATTCTTCTGAAACTCCAGAACAAAAGTATCGTAACATTAAAAAGAAAGAATTCCATTTACAAGGTACTGTTTCCTGTAAACTTTTACTGAAAGACTATTTCTCTTCCAATAAAGAGGAAGAATATTGTGCTTTTATAGAAATTTTATTGAATATTTTCCTTTTATAGAAAGGTCATAGGAAAGAGGATTCTTCTAAAAATAATATCATATTTTTTAAGTATTCATTTTCCGCCAAGAAGTTCACCGATTTTCTAAAATTCAGTTCTGTAACTCATTTAAAATTCTTCTTCGTGATTATACTTTTCTTTCAAGTTTGCAGATTCGATATTATGGCGATATTATACGCCTTCCTGACTATCACGACTATCACGCAGGTATCTCCAAATATTATTTCCGTGTCTTAACGTTGCAGTTGCGTGAACCCAATTTAATTAAAATAACTTAATTTAATTAAATTATATTCTTGATAAATCCCTTTCTCAAACCTTATATCTCACTATCGAATTGAAATAACACTCGATTCGAGGAGCGATATCCGACAATAGGGCGAGTTCACGGCACTGACGACGCGCAGCGCGCGTCATTTTGCGCGTCAAAGCGCGCGTATATGATTCACACGGACTGTGTGTGTATGTACACGAGCTTAGATAGATCCCATCGCGATATATAAATGTCGCGCGATGTTCTTGTGCGATTTGTGCCGGTGCCTGCCTCTGGGAATGCTCGCGATCGCGAATACTCGACGATCTCCGACCGATATTCCACGATATATCTCAACGAACGCTGACGACAACGACCACGGCGGCAGCGAGGAAGTTGCGCAAACGTCGAACAGCCTTACGCAGAGACGAGAACCAAACTCACTCGGGGACTGGGATAACTTCGCGAAATCTGGAAAAGATGCTCAGACTCACCAATCTGTCGAGGGTCCGTTTCTTTCACTCTCATGGTATATTCGATAACGTCGACGCAGTTTCAATCTCTTCGATCGAACCTTGTCCGCGACGGCAAAGACCGGAGCTTCCAGATGGAGGAAACGACAGTGAACCAAGATTTCGATACTGGAATCACGCGAAAGTGATCGCCGCGTTTCCATACACGTGGCCGTTTTCGTTGCATACGCGATAAATGTGCAAAACCTTCTTTACGCGTATCCATGCAGTATCTGTGGATAAAATAAAGCTAGATTACACTGTATTCAGAGAAAAATGGTACACAAAAAAGAAACGTTTAGTTGGATTAACCCAATTTCTGGTGAAATATAAATGAACCAGAAAATACTTAAGTTAACCAGAAATCTTGTTAACTTGAACAGAATTCTGGTTGCTTCAACAAGAATTTCTGGTATGGAAATTTGCTTAATGCAATTAAACTTTTTTTCCGTGTGGTAATCAATATAAGTGACAACTATACGAATTTTGCTATATAAAGCTTAATAAACTATTTTGTAGTTATTACAACGCGAAAGCTGTATGGAATTATGTACAGGGTGAGTCAATTGCCATCTTAAATATCGTTGAAGCAACAAAGACTTTAAAATCTTCTAAGCTACTTCGAGGAAATTATCACAAACTCCTTTTCTAGGTAGAATAGCTTCGAAAATCTGAAGATCACCTTTGTCCCTTGCTTTGAAGATGTGTTTCAGATGGCAATAGTTATTAATTTACTCTATATAGTTCTTCGATTCTCTATATAATTCTCCTAACCATTCAGCTTTAGTTGCAATAACTGTAATATAGCTTATTAAATTACATTTATCAATTCTGCAACACTCATATAGCTGTCACCTATACAGTTACTATTCCATGACATTTTTCTCTGAGAGACATTTTTCTACGATTTTGAGCCTTGAATCTAAGTCGATCAACTTGAAATGTCGGGCTTTGCTTTTTTCTTCTTTTTTTATCGGGGAACGTTCAGTTGCTTGAAATGTCTGTCGGTATATCCAAAAATCAATGCGTTTATATTGTAGGTTGTATTGTCGAAGAGACTCACCCGATCATCCACGCGAAACATTTGCACATTTATTTTTCAATCAATCACAATTCGGCAGCTTGTATTGTTATAACGGATGTTTGACTCGTCATTCGTTAATCCTCACGCCGAGGACGGTTTCAAACTCGCGCAAGAGGAAATATCTAGTCGAATGTTGGAGTTCCAAAGGACACGAAGGACACGAAATCCTGTGTGTAGACGTGTGTGTTTCGCTATCAGTAACCAGCCAGTGAAGGCATCTTCCCTTTTACGCGCTGAGTGAACAGCCAAGAGATAATGCCATGCAGAAAGCCAAGGACGAGCGTGTTAAGATCACGGCGGCTCTCTTTCGGGTCAGCTTCGATGAAGACGATGACGTCAATAACAACAACGACAACGACGACGATGATGACAACAAAGAGAAAGAAGATAAGGCTTCGTCTGCGAGAGAATCGGAGGAAACCGTCTCACGGTCACCTCCGTCTAAAGAAACCGAGAGAAAGTCCAGTGAAACGGAAAAGGCAATAGTTTTCTCAAACTCGGAAGCTCCTTCGAGCTTGGCTAAGCCCGATTCTGAGCTTTCAGCTTCCACTTTATGCATAGGAAGCTGCGCTCTCGAATTCTCGCGTCCATCCGCGAGCTCCATTCCCGTTTCCAGAGTCTCGTCAAGTTTGAACAACGTGGGGGAACACGCGACACCAGACGCGAAAAGGGAACAAGACAAAGTCGACAACAACGTGTTAGTGACTCCGACAATTGGTACGCGAAGACTTACGGTGCCGGTGATAGACTCGGACAGAATCTTTTCCGCACTCAAACGCGATCGTTTGCTCATACAGGAGCCATCCACGAGCTTACACTTCTCCTCGTCGCTCGAGGATCGTCCGGCGCGCACTGACGCGATCTCGATCGCGACGAGCCAGTCGAGACACTCTCGATTGTCGCCTAACTTCCTCGAGGTTCCTCCGAAGACTTCAGAATTCCACGGCCGTTGCTCTCCTTGCGACTCGGGCAAGACTCTGACGGTCTCGGGGAATGCGACCGTCGACGAGGAAGTCTCGAACGCTGCATCGCGAGATTCAACGACAGCCGTCGTCCAAGATTTTTCCAACGAAAGTTCCAGCAAAGACGGCGCTCGCAGACTAACGTTGCCTATGACGAGCGCCGATTTCAGCCGGTCCACGCGCCAGGAGGAGCCAGCGAAGAAGTTACCGACCTTCGAGGATATCGTGGCCGGCACTAGCGTGAACCCGATACGGAAGTTCAGCATCGCGAGCGCGGCGATCTGCTCGAGCCTGGCGCCGAGTCTGCTCGGCGCTATTCCGGGAGTGCCGAGCAGCCTGCTGCCGAACGGAAACGGCCGGGAGAGCGATCTCATCCGCAGCGCGACCTTCTCGAACCTATCGACCAGCTCCACGATCGCCAGCGACGACACCACCAGCGGCAGGACCGGGCGTAGACTGCGACAGCTTCTGCATCTTCACATACCCGAGCAGCTGTCCGGCGCGACCTGGCGCGGCCATGAGGACTGTCATCATCTCCATCATCATCATCAGCAACAGCAGCACGATCATCATCATCATCACCATCACCATGTATTCCCGCACATTCACGTACCCACCATCACATTCACGGCGCCGGCCACTGACGGCACCGGGCGCAAGTTCAACTTCGCCATACGAAGGCACTCGCAGGCGGTTAGTTGGCGCCGGACGCACGTCGTTTCTTCGTTTTCATTGGTGTTTCTCTTCTTCGTTAACATCGCACTATGGAACAAAGGCGAGGGGAGAGAGTCATCGTCTGGCCAAGCCGAGCCATCTCAGCTTGAGTAAAGAATCGAAACGCCGAGCAGCGTTTCATTTTTCAGCCTTTGCGTCTTATCGTGTGCGTGGAATTGTTCTCGCGAATGCTTACACGGAGAGAAAAAATACTGTAATTCTTTTTCATGTAAATTCCTTTCAATTTCACTGTGTTTTCTAGTAGTACAGGGAGAGACCATCAGCAAGGTCTATCTTGCTGAGGAATAAAGTAAAGTAAAAGGGCCAACACCTATCTGATTCTGGACATTCTTGTTGTTTTTGGTCTTTAAATAC